AAGTTGTGGTTTACAATTTTTATATCAGTAACATGACATAAAGTCTTGAATATGCAAGATCTGCAGAAACAATTTCCTCATTCTTTCTTTATATGTAGTCTTTCGGTAAATTAATAATGCATGGAAATACTGAGCTTCTGTTTCATTATCATACTACTGACAGAGCATGACTTTTTTTCAAACTGCACACATGAAATATGATATTGGCTGTTATGCAAACTCATAGAAGTAACAGAGAGGATGCACACACAAAGGAAATGCAGCCATTACAGTCCAATCGAAATAATTTTTTTTAACTACCAAGAAGCTACAATATTTCATTTTTAGCGACATGTAATTATCTGACTGCAGTGACATACAAACAGCAAACAAGCAACAACAAAGAGAATTTCTTATAACATTTCCAAGATAAGGGAGTGACAACAAGAGGGAGAATGAAGGATGTTAGTAAAAAAATTAGAGTTCGTGTTAAAAAAACAAGATCAGATCAACTCAACTTTATTGTCAAATGTGCTACATGGTAAACATACAACACAGATGAAATTGCAGTCCTCTCAACCACACAGTGCATAATAAAATATAATGAACCATATCATAAAAAAAAAAATTGAAATAAAAACCTAAGAAATAAAAGAAATATAGGTATCTGCTCGGATTACTAAAAATCTAACAACGAACTAGTTTAAATACTAAAGAAGATTACAAATGTGCAGATGGGAAGTGTAATGGTAAATTTTTACAAAGTCACATTACAGTGGTCCTGATGGATGCCTAGTACAAATAGTCAATGTAAACGATGTAACTGTAACATATACAGCAATTATTATTACTGCACAGTACAGTGGCTATAGTGCAAATAATGCAGATGGTAGCATGAGCTGAGTAGCAGTCATGATGTCTGCAGTGCGAAAAGTGGTGCAAAAGATGGGGGATGGGGCACTTGCTCTTCTCAGTTTCCGCAGGAAGTAGAGTCTCTGTTGGGCTTTCTTGGCCAGTGACGTGGTGTTGGTGTCCCAGGACAGGTCTTGGGAGATGTGGACACCCAGGAACCTGGTGCTGCTCACCTGCTCCACCTCAGCACCGTTGATGATCAGGGGAGCGTGCTGGGCAGGCCCTCTCCTGAAGTCCACCACAATCTCCTTTGTCTTCTCCACGTTCAGATGGAGATGGTTGTCCTGGCACCACGTGGCCAGGCGGCTCACCTCACTCCTGTAGTTTGTCTCATCGTTGTTGTTGATGAAACCCACCACAATTGTGTCATCTGCGAATTTGATGAAGATGTTGGAGCTGAATGTTGGAGTGCAGTCGTGGGTCAGCAGAGTGAAGAGGAGGGGGCTCAGCACACATACTTGGGGGGGCCCCCGTGTTCAGCCTGATGGTGTTGATGCCAACCCGAACAGCCTGTGGTCTCCCCGTCAGGAAGTCCAGCAGCCAGTTGTAGAGGGAGGTGTTGAGTCCCAGCTGGACCAGTTTGACGATGAGTTGCTGGGGGACGATGGTATTGAATGCTGAGCTGAAGTCGATGAACAGCATTCTGACATGTGAGTCCCTGGTCTCCAGGTGGGTGAGGGCTGAGTGAAGGGCAGTGGAGATGGGGTCATCGGTCGAGCGGTTGGACCGATATGCAAACTGGTAGGGGTCCAGATTGGGGGGAAGGGCAGACTTGATGTGGTGCATGACTTGCCGCTCGAAGCACTTCATGATGATGGGGGTGAGTGCGACAGGGCGGTAGTCATTGTGGCAGGTGGGGGGCGACTTTTTCGGTACCGGGATGATGGTTGTGGCTTTGAGGCACGTCGGGATGACAGCTTGTCTCAGGGAGATGTTAAAGATGTCAGGGACCAGGAATCCCATCGGGACCGGGGGCTTTCCTGGCGTTGATCCTCCTGAGGGTTCTCCTAATGCAGTCCGAACACAGTGACAGCACCTGGTCGTCGGGGGGCGGAGGGATCCTTCGTGCTGGGGTGCTGTTGTCTGCCTCAAAGCGAGCGAAGAAGTCGTTCAGCTGGTTCAGCAGGGAGGGGGAGTTGTCACAGGTCTGCGGTGGGGGCTTGTAGTCTGTGATGGTCTGGATGCCCCGCCACAGGTTCCTGGAGTCTCTGCTGAGGGAATGCAGCGAAACTACATGGTTAAATAACCTTCTATTAGTTTCCAGTTATTCCAGTGTCCTCATTATGTGTCCAGTGGACTCCTGGATCCTGATCCAATGTCCAATGCTCAATCAATGTTTTATTATTTACTTTGTAAGACCCTCTGAATTGCCTTCCAGTTGGAGTAAAGCATAAGTATGGACATATTTTTACCAAGCTAACAACTTCTTGAATTATTAGAAATACCAGAAGAAGCTAGAGTGAGAAAATGCACTCATTGATGACTTCAGATAAAACACATAAAAAAAATATCCAGTTTATTACCCTAGTGGGGTTTAATTTGGATGCAACTAAATGGAAATACCTATGACATTGTAGAGTACAGAAGTTTATAATATAGTTTGGGACTGAAGGAGCCTGATCTTTAAAGATATCAAACAAGAGGCACTAACCCAAAAAAATAAATAATGGTATCATCAGCATAAAAATGCATATTAGCATCAGAGAAATTTTGCTCAACATTGTTGAAGATAAATAAGAGAGGGCCCAAAACAGAACCTTGTGGCACACCCTTGTGAACAGTAACAAATTCAGAACAAAGCCCTTCAAATTTTATACACTGGGACCAGTTTTCTAAAATACTTTGAAAACCAAACAACCACATGCTCTGACAGACCAATAAGAAGTAGCCTGTGTTTTAAAATAGCATGGTCTATGGCACAGGCGTCAAACTGGTTCCAGAAAGGGCCGTGTGGCTGCAGGTTTTCTTTCCAACCAAGCAATAGCACAATAGACTCCAGTCATCTCATCAAGTGAGTCCAATCTGAACATGATGACTTGATGAGATGACTGGAGTCTGGTGTGCTATTGTTTGGGTGGAAAGAAGACCTGCAGTCACACGGCCCTTTCTGGAACCAGTTTGTCACCCCTGGTCTACGGTGTCATAAACTTTTGAAAGATCAATAAAGGTATTCTGTCAGTGTGACAAAGATGCAGCAAACCAGTGGAACTTATATTTAAGTGCAGGTGTTTCCTCCACCATTAGGCTGCCGTTACACCCACTGCCAAATTCCAGCAAACCTGCACTGATCCAGACTCACTAGTTAAGGGTTGAACTGTTGACTTACCCTTTCCACTGTGTGGTTTGGGACAGCCCTTAAAATGGGGGAGCCCCTGTGGGAATGTGCCAACAGAGGTTTAGTGCCTAGGAGTAATGTTTAGGGGCTGGTTTGGGATTTGGCCTATGATTCTTAAAAAGAAGCATCACTGTTATTTTTACCGCTGTTTTGTTTACATCAAAGCCCCAAACTTTCCTGGATTAGATTCAATTATATTCAATTCAATTTAATTTAATTCAGATCAGTTCAACTCAAAAATACTTTTTTTTATCACAAAGGGAAATGAAATGATGAAACTTATAAGGGTTTCTTCAGTGTTGGGAAAGTTCTCTTCTACGTGAACTAGTTCAAAGTTCAGTTCACACATTTTAAAATGAACTAATTCAGTTCATAGTTCATAATTCAAAATTTTGAACTAAGTTCACAGTTCCAAAAAATTAACTAGTTCATAGTTCTTTTTTTTCTTCTTCATATATTGCTCAATTACACCATAGCCTACTGTAGAACCACAGACAGCAATTATTTTATCAGTTGTAACACTGAAACTGTGCGTCAGATTCCGTCTTCATATCCAGCTTTGAATCCTTATCCAACCAGGGTTTACATTAGCATTGAGGGGACAGCATTTCCCCATTGTTGCTTTAACGCTTTGTTGCTGTCCATTCACTTCACACTAGTAGCAGCTGCAGCTTTAACCCCTACAGTATATTCTCAAAAACATCAGGAAAAATGTGCTGCTTGAATGGTCTTTTTTATGAGGAATTATTAAAAGAAAAACAGGAAAGTAGTCTTTAAGGTGCAAATGTTTTTTTTTTTTTTTTTATATATAATTTTTTCCATTTGAAATTCCATTTCAGTACATATGCCGTTTCAGATTTGCTTTGGATGTTACCGAAGTGCGGATTTTTTTACTGAAAGCCGGCGGGTAAAGTTTGCAGAGAAATGTAAGATTGTTGCTGTTACGCCCCTGAAAATGGGGAGGAATAAAAACAATGAAAAGAGATGTTTCCTCAGCGAGAACTTTTACTCTAATCAAATATTGGTTTTACAACAATTAACATTTATAAAATCTTACAGCAAAAATGCCTGGGTACAGAGAGTGCACACATCTTACTAATATAGTATTTACCTGAGGCATAAGCCCTACAACAAGCAACAGGTCCTCTGAGATTAACATTATAAAACCAAAACGTGTTTATTTTAATAAAAGAAATGAAGCACATCATATAACCCATTAAAAAACTAATAAGTAGCTTTGTTCATTAAAAGGTAACTGTTTCCTCACACATTAGAAAAACAACTTTATGCTTCAACACAAACTAGTAATGTAATAAAAACTCTTACAAAAATAAATGTGTGCAAAACCTCCGAAATAAGTGCAAAATACACCACTAAAAGCGTTTATGCGCATCTACAAACGATTCAAAATGGCGACGCCCGTTACAACTTTGTGATGGTCGGTGCGTTCTAGCAGGGAGCCAACTGACACGCCCACACTTACACACATCACTACACTTCTGAATAACTTAAATTATAACAAACACATTTAACATTGCTTTAACATGTTAGCTGATTACTAAAATCATGCTAAATATGTTTAACAGTGACAACATACCTGAAAATGGGGAGAAATAAGAACAATGAACAGAGATGTTTCCTCAGCGAGAACTTTTACTCTAATGAGGAAAAGACCGCGGCATCTCCAGGCATGTGGGCGGAGACAGACAGCGTCATGTCTAGTTCAAGATCGCCTCGTAATCCCGCCGAAGGGATTCGAGTTAAGCTAATCACGATGCCTAGAAAGAAAGAGAGAAAAAGCGCCAAAAAGAAGAAAAAAATGAACTCCGCGAGTCCTTTAACCAAAGCTGTCATCGACGATAAAGAAAAGAGTTTATATCAGAAGCAAATTGCATTTTTGAACGAGAAACTAGAAAGGTTTCAGATCAAATGTGCTGAACTGGAGAAGCAGAACAAATTGCTAATTTATCAGTACAGCTCACTGAACACGGAGAAGAAGAATGTTACAGAGTACCTGAAACACACACTCTCTGGGAAGGTGGACAAGGGTGATGATCTCCTGCAGTTTCTGGAGGCTCAACGTCAGGCTGCTGTCCAGGAGAAACAGTCCTTGCAGCTGAAACACGACAAACTGAGGCAGGAACTAGACGCCCAAATTAATGAACTTAATGAAAAAAACGCAGTGCTCGTAAAGAAACTTGCTGATTTGGAAGAGTTTCAGAGGCAAAAGCATGAACTGATGACAAAGCTTAAAAATCTACAGAAGCAGCTGGAATGCCAACAAGAAAAACACAAGGATGAGATCCACAGCCTGGAGATGAAGGATCTGCTGGAAAAGAGGAAGTTAAGGTTGGAGATGGAAAGTGAAGTAGCAGCTATGTCATCCAAGGTCCAGCATCTAGTGGAACAGAAGCTTCCAGAGAAGATCAGGTCTGTGCTTCAGGAGAACACTGAGCTGAAGACTCGTCTCAGCAAGCTGTCAGAGGCGACAGAGTCCCTGCTGGAGGAGAACACGTCTCTGAGGGAACGCCGCAGACAGCTCAGCATCGACAACGACATCCTGGAGCAAACGGTCCGTGAGACGTCTCCGATCAGCTGCGTCTGCAGGAAGGAGGTGCAGCAGCTTAGGGGAAAGTTTCAGCAGCTTCAGGAGGATGTCAGTGAAAAGCAGCAGCAACTGGATCAGCTTCAAACTGAGCACACACGAGTCCTGGCCGACATGGAGGCACTCAGAGTGGAGCAGTAGCCGGATGGAAAGAAATCAGCTGGAGTTCAAGCTGAAAGACGAGAGGAGGAGGAAGAACAGGATGAGGAGCATCATGCAGGACGCAGTAGGGTTGTCACGATACTAAACTTTTCAACTCGATACCGATACTAAGGAAAATATTCGATACTCGATACCATTTTCGATACCACAAGGATAAAAACAAAGACCCCAAAATTCAACAGAAATATTTTCATTAATAAATAAAATACAATAAATAAACACAATAAAGCTTGTATGCTGTGCATAATATTAAGCAAGCTTGATAAAAAACTTATAAAATTCAAATTAAGTGTTCCTTCCATGGCTATGCTTTGCACACATAACAATGACACTAGCCAAACCAGTTAAGAAACAAAAATAATTCTCAGCAGCTGCACCTGTTACAAAAAAAAGTCTGAAACTGAAAAGAGCACAGAATTATTCCATCACACAGTGTTCTGAAAGTGCATTTTCCTCTATTCTGCACTTTAGATGAACGACTGCTTAGGTGCCACTGGTGACGGCACTGTATCGATACTTTTAAAAACGAGTATTGTATCCGGATACAACATTTCAGTTTTTTGAGTTTCGATACTTTTGACAACCCTAGGACGCAGCAAACAGTCTCCTACAGGTGCTGAAGGAGGCTCCAACACAACAGACGAACGTGGACGCTGTCCCCCCGTGGAGGACGACTCTGCAGAACCTGCAGGAGCTGCTGAACCGACAATCAATCAGAGCTCCGTCTGCACAGAGAGAGCTGCAGATATCGGACCCAGATTCAACACGAGCGGAGCGCCTGGATCCAGGTCGGAGTTTTCTGTCCCAGCCATCCCATCAGAAATGTCGTGATTCCCGCCTCCTTTCTCAACCCGCAGTGAAACCCAGAGACTCCCTCTGTAGGACAGGAGCTGCCTCTCATCTCTGCCCAGGAAACCCACGATTCTGAGGAGCTCCAGATCAGCCACCATTTCTCGTTCATCTTTGGGATCTCTGACCTCCAGCCTTTCACAAAATCCATTTTTCTTCAAATAAATCCCAGCGGTGCCTCCAAAATGTTACGCCCCTGAAAATGGGGAGGAATAAAAACAATGAAAAGAGATGTTTCCTCAGTGAGAACTTTTACTCTAATCAAATATTGGTTTTACAACAATTAACATTTATAAAATCTTACAGCAAAAATGCCTGGGTACAGAGAGTGCACACATCTTACTAATATAGTATTTACCTGAGGCATAAGCCCTACAACAAGCAACAGGTCCTCTGAGATTAACATTATAAAACCAAAACGTGTTTATTTTAATAAAAGAAATGAAGCACATCATATAACCCATTAAAAAACTAATAAGTAGCTTTGTTCATTAAAAGGTAACTGTTTCCTCACACATTAGAAAAACAACTTTATGCTTCAACACAAACTAGTAATGTAATAAAAACTCTTACAAAAATAAATGTGTGCAAAACCTCCGAAATAAGTGCAAAATACACCACTAAAAGCGTTTATGCGCATCTACAAACGATTCAAAATGGCGACGCCCGTTACAACTTTGTGATGGTCGGTGCGTTCTAGCAGGGAGCCAACTGACACGCCCACACTTACACACATCACTACACTTCTGAATAACTTAAATTATAACAAACACCAAGGGCGTAGGAATATGTTTACAATTGGGGGGGACACATGTCGGAAATCTGAGATTCGTAAATATTCAACAGAAACATATCTTAAGTACGCTACTTAAAAAAAAGGCTATTTAATCTTTTACTTTATTCCTTTATAAATGTGTTTGCAAAAATAATGCATTTAAAATCAACATAATGCATTTGTTCATAAGATGTGAGCATATCACCAAACAAAATGACTGGAGTCTTTTATTAAGCAAAGGGAGATGTCTTTCAAGGGCTTCAGCCCTTGGCATATTTAGTGTCCGCATACGCACTAGAAAATCAAAACAATTCAGTAGGCCACACAAGTGCAAAGTTTGATATGTTTTATTTTGTCAAACTTGCAATAATGGTCAAAAATGAATTTATATAGGTTGACTGACAGAGGGAGCTGACAGTGTGTTGAAGAATTATGGACAGGGCGCTTTGAAGCATCTGGTTCAAAAACGCATTCTAAACCTTTGGTAGAAATCCATCTATCCTTCCATTTTCTGTACACCCTGTCCCTTAGTGGGGTCAGGAGGTGCTGGTGCGGGGTCCACCCTAGACAGGTGGCCAGTCTGTCCAGACCTTTGGTAGAAATGGCGCCTTTAATTCCAGTTTGCAGTACAGAACAGAGAAAACTACAGAGTTGTCAATGTTGTGTTAATCTGTTTATAGTCTAAAAAGAGGAGCCAGCAGTTTGAGGAAATAAAGGTGCAGAAGTTAATTAGTTGGTTAATTAGTGGTTGCACAACCAATGCGACCGCCGCTGCTAAGAATTAAAAGTAATTCTCCCTGTGGTTAACTAACGATCAGGAGCGCGGCAGGTATAACATCTGTCCATTTCGGCGAATCAAAACCATGCAAAAAATAAAAAATCCTCGTAAAACGCACACCCAGACCAGGCTAATTTCAACACAAGTTGTGTTAGGTGACTGTTACTCTCACTGACGTTTCTCTTTAAAAAAAAATCTGAGTAAGTCCTACTGCTGTTTCAGCCTTTTAGTTGGTGGTGGCAATGTACTGAAATGAGATATAAAAAAATATATATAAAAAAAACATTTTGGCTAGCGTGGCAAACGTCTAGAGAAAGTTAGCAGTTAAATATTGGATGAGTGATCAGACCAAGACTACGGAAGAGGATTAGGGCCACTGGAAAAAAAAAAAAGTTAAGTGATTTTTACATTTTATTTCAGTTTAATACGGGAAAAAAGTCAGAATTCTGACTTTTATTTTCAGAATTAAGACTTTTTTTCTCAGAATTTTGGATCTTATTGTAGATGGGCACCATGAAGGCAGAGATGTGGAGCACTCAGCTTCACTGACAAAAATGTGAGTTATTTGAGAGAGCCAGTGACACATTGGTGGAAAATGACAGAATTAGGCAACTTTTTACGTGCCCGAGGGGTCCCCCCATTAATGGAGGAGCAGAAGGTCATTAAAACAAGAGAGCTAGTCTCTAAAAGAGACATGGCTATGGCTGGATGCTAACATGTTTGTTGTTAAACATACTTTTGTTATATTACATTTGTGTTGTGTTTTCCAAAAAGTGTAGAAAATTAATGGTGGGTTTATAATGTTTACCTTTTATGAGCAGGACAGGAAGCAGAGAAGTGTAGCATTACCTCCAACTAGTTAAACTCATAATTATGAAGTTATTCAACAAATTCCTCAAGTAAAAAAGGGCAACTTTTTTATTTATTTATTTATTTATTTTTTACCAGATTTGTGGATTAATTTCAAAATTATGTATTCCTTCCAAATTTCCAAATCTGAAGAATTTTTTAAACCAATATCTACATTATTTAACATTTAGTTTATGTTTTAGCAGTACTTCCTGTTATATTTCTTTATACGTATATTTTACATTTTCTTGCACAGCAAGCTCAGCAGATTTGAAATTGTGTGCTTGTGTAAACACAAGTAGTCAATCTTTACTCTAAACATATATTCTGGTTATTTTTTAGGTAGACCTTCTTGTTTTTATATATCTGTATAGTACCCCCTCCCCCCACCAAAAAAAAACTGTAAACTGATTAGAAATATTAATCATATGTCAGATTTCTGAGAAAAAAGTCAGAATTCTGAGATTAAAGTCAGAAATCTGGGAAAAAAAGTCAGAAAAAAAAGTCAGAATTCTGAGATTAGAGTCAGAATTCTGAGAAAAGTCAGAATTCCGACTTTTCCCCCAATGTTAAACTAAAAAAACATTTAAAAATCAGTTAACGTTTTTCAGTGGCCCTAATCCTCTTCCTACAAGACTAAGATGCCTAAACCAAAAAGATTCAGTTTCTATATATGAAAGTGAACTGACAACAAGACGTTATAAATAAGCAATATTCATAGCAGCATTCCCGACAGACCATTTTACCTCATTAACATGTTTCTGACTTTCTGTATCGCTGTTTCCCTCTGAGAGCTCAAACACTCAACAGTTCACAGAGGGGAGGGGGAGTACAGTGACGTAACGCTATGCTGCGCCTTCAAAATAAAAGCACGATAGTTAAAAAATTGTCAAAATCTAATATTTTGCGGTACAATTTTTTGGGGGGACATATCCACCTGGCTTTTATATTGGGGGGGACATGTCCCCCCCGTCCCCCCCGCTTCCTACGCCGCTGACAAACACATTTAACATTGCTTTAACATGTTAGCTGATTACTAAAATCATGCTAAATATGTTTAACAGTGACAACATACCTGAAAATGGGGAGGAATAAGAACAATGAAAAGAGATGTTTCCTCAGCGAGAACTTTTACTCTAATGAGGAAAAGACCGCGGCATCTCCAGGCATGTGGGCGGAGACAGACAGCGTCATGTCTAGTTCAAGATCGCCTCGTAAACTGTAAATTCATACATCTTAACCACAAATTACACAATCAGGAAGAAAATAAACCAAGTAAGGCAAACCACTTTTTAGCGTTTTAACCCTTTTTAAATCAGATGATTTTCCAGATTATCCACTTTTGATTTCTCTTCTTAATGTATTACCGTTTTTTTTTTTAAATAATGAATTCAATCAATTCTCTTATGGTCTAATTGATAATATCTACCATTTTAACTTATCACATTGCCATCATCCTCACCGACCACCTGGTCATAAACCTGTTTTAAGTGATCATACTGCTGCTTTGTCGCCTCTACGGTCGCCTCCATGCTGCTGTGGCTTCCACGCTGCATTTTGTTTTGATGACGCACGCGGCTGTAGGCTACGACACTGGTAGCTGGTGTTGCCAGATTGGGTGTTTTTCTCGCTACATATTAAGGCCTGTTTACGGTTCGATTTAGCCGGGGTTTCGCCTGGAGAGCTCTATAGAAATTTGGCAACCTATTGAACGGAGCTGAACTGAGAGAGCGTGCCGTTCACAGACACCAGAATGAACGAGTTCACAATAACGTTCATCAGGCAGTAATACAGTACGTTCAGTTCACGTTCGCCCAAAATATGAACGAGTTCATGAACTTTCGTTCAATGAACGCGTTCAGGCACAACACTGGGTTTCTTCTACAAGTTGTTTGAGGTGTGGATGGCTGAAGACACAAAGGATCTCCTGTAGTAGTCTGTCTTAATGGAGAAGCCTTTTGACTAAAGAGTCCTCTGAAAGGATTGCTCCCTGTTGACTGTAATGTTCTTTATTTCATGAAAAATGCTTCTTTGTGAAATTATCTCCAGAGATTCCGGAAGAATTCCAAGAATAGAGCTGACTTTCTTTATCAGCTTGTTCAGCTTCTTGAAGTCATTTGCAGATGATGGAGGAAGAGATCACACTCTGCACAACAGACTTAAAGAAGATATGCAGCATATTGCTGCAAACACTGAAAGATCTAAGCTTCTTTTGTTAAAGTAGAAGTCTTCTTCTACAGTTTGCTTTGTCCCTTCTTGCGGATGTCTTCACAGTTGCATTTTCAGTCCAGTTTGTTGTCCCGGTGAACACCAAGGTATTTATACTGCTTAAAAACTGTTTGCCACAACAAGTATTTTTTCCTATGTATGATCAAAACAATGTGGCTCTCACTGGCCCTTGGTTATGGGCAGAAAACCACATGAAATCACTGCTGACATTGTTATTTGAATAATGAGCAGAGAATTCCCTCTTACAAATAATGTTTATATTTCTTCCGGGTAAAATCCTTATACTGTACATGATAGGTCTGAAGGAGCTACTCTGGAGGTTCGGATACGAGAGAAAATGACCACAGATCTCAAGATTAGAATGTAATTTGGTATCATTTATAACTGTAGTATATCTTAGAAAAACATAATTAATGGAAAGAGCCCCTTTTGATTATCAGTAAAGGGATTCTGAGGCAAATATTTCTGAGTATTGAGAGTAAAGCACATATTTTTACCCAGCTTAACAACTTGTTTACATCTGGAATTATTAGAAATACCAGGACAAGCTAGTGTAAGGCATTGCATTCATTGAAGATTTCAGATAAAACATAAATAAATAAATAATCTTGTTTATTACCCTAGAGTGATTTAATATGGATGCAACCCAATGGAAATACATATGACAATGCAGAATACAAAAGTTTATAATATAATTTGGGACTGAAAGAGGATGATCTTTAAAGACATCGTATAAGTGACATACTGCTAGACCAGACTCTTAAGCAAGCGACAACTGCGGACACAGAGGCAGATTTAACAGTTTATTTCCTAGTTAAATGGAGAAGAGCTCAGTCAACTTAGACAAAAACAGGGAGAGAGAGTCTGAGTTCTGGATCCTTATCCAGAGGATTGTCCTGTGTTGGATTGAGGGTGGACAGGCAGGCTGATTGTTCCTGTATGGGCTCCCCAGAGAGGAGACAGTTCCAGAGCAGCAAGGAGGTGGAGGAAACGGACCTGATCCTGGTGAGCGTCTGATCTGGTTCTGTGGAGAACGAAAGCAAGGAGAGATTAGAGGAGACTCTGGGAGCTTAGTTCACTAGCAGAGCTTGACCTGTTTTACCACTGAGAGAGCGGAACCAACTGGCAGCATGCTCCAGGAAACTGCTCCTATATAAAGGCCACCACTGATTGTCATCAAGGAGTAACAGCTGGAACCCATCAAGCCTGCCAACCTGAAATTAAGGAGAAACACAAAGTCCTAACAGTACCCCCCCCTTCAACGGACGCCGCCTGGCGGACGACCTGAAGATGAGGCTGCTGAACACTCAGTCATTGATGAGGGAGGGATCCAAAATGAAGGAGCTCGGAACCCAGGACCGCTCCTCAGGACCATATCCCTCCCAGTCCACCAAGTACTGCCTACCCCGCCCACGAGGCCGCACATCTACAATGCGCCTAACTGTGTAGGCTGGGTGACCATCGATGATACGGGCAGGGGGTGGGAGCTCTGGAAGAGGACACAGGGGACTTGAGAGGTAGGGCTTGATCAGGGAAACATGAAACACAGGATGCACTCTGAGGTGGGAAGGCAACTTGAGGTGAACAGCAGATGGACTAAGAACTGACTCAATGATGAATGGACCAAGGAATCTGGGGGACAATTTGCGGGTGTATGATTTAAATGGGAAGTGTTTTGAAGACAACCAAACCCTTTGACCAGGTGTGTAGATAGGAGCCGGGACTCTTTTGCGATCAGCAAGACGCTTATTTTGGGCAGATGTCCTGTGAAGAGCAGCCTTAGTCTGATTCCAGATTCTTTGGCAGTTCCGCATATGGTGTTTGACAGAAGGGATGATCTTATCTGGGAAAGTGTTGGGTAGAAGTGAAGGCTGGAAACCCTGAGATGCCTGAAAGGGAGACAGACCTAAGGCTGATGATATATGAGTGTTATGGGCAAATTCCACCCAGGGTAGTTGTGCACTCCATGAGGTGGGGTTGGAAGCACAAACACACCGAAGGATATTTTCCAGCTCTTGATTAAGGCGTTCACACTGTCCATTAGATTGGGGGTGAAAACCAGAAGACAGGCAAGGACGTGCACCAAGAGCTGAACAGAAGTTTCTCCAGACCTGGGAGATGAATTGGGGTCCTCTGTCAGAGACAATTTCTGTTGGGATTCCATGAAGGCGGAAGACGTGATAGAAGAGAAGCCTAGCTGTTTCTAATGCTGAGGGGAGTTTGGAGAGTGCAACTAGATGACAAGCCTTAGAAAAACGGTCAATGATGCTGAGAATAACCCTTTTATTTTTGGATGTGGGGAGACCAGTAACAAAGTCGAGGGAGATGTGGGACCAGGGCCGACTGGGGATGGACAACGGTTGCAGGAGACCAGAGGGAGGACGATGGGACGTCTTGTTTCTAGCACAGGTTGAACAAGCAGAGACATATTCAATAACATCCTTATTCAGGGATGGCCACCAGAAATATCGACGAAGAAGACCAATAGTGCGACTTACTCCAGGATGGCAGGAGAATTGTGAAGAGTGTGCCCAATGGATGGTGCGAGCACGAATGGAGGTGGGAACATACCGACGGTTAGGTGGGCCTCCGCCTGGTTCTGGTTCAGAGATCTGTGCCTCCTGGATAGCCCCTTCCAGATCCCAGGTGAGGGAACCAATGGTACATGTGGAGGGAAGAATGGGCTCAGAATACTCTGGGGGGTCATCAGGAGAGTAAAGTCTGGAGAGAGCATCTGGCTTGGTGTTTCTGGAACCTGGACGATAGGTGATATTAAGATTGAAACGGGAGAAGAAAAGGGACCAACGATACTGTCTTGGGTTAAGGCGCTTGGCAGACTGAAGATATGCCAGGTTCTTATGGTCTGTCAAAATGATTACTGGAAGTTCAGTACCTTCTAGCCAGTGCCTCCACTCCTCGAGAGCTAACTTAATGGCCAAGAGTTCTCTGTCTCCGATGTCGTAGTTCACCACAGCAGGAGTAAACCTTTTAGAAAAGAAGGCACAGGGGTGAAGCTTGTTATCCTTGGGGAACCGCTGTGAAAGGACTGCCCCAACGCCAGTATTTGACGCATCAACTTCAACAGTGAACTGAGCAGAAGGATCAGGGTGAATGAGAATGGGTGCTTCCACAAACCTCTGCTTGAGTTCTTTGAAAGCGGAGGCAGCTTCAGGAGTCCATAGGAAGTGTCTCTTGGTAGAGGTCAGAGCAGTGAGGGGCGCAGCGACAATACTGAAGTTCCGTATAAAACGTTGGTAGAAGTTAGTGAACCCCAGGAAACGTTGAAGTTGCTTCCTGGTGTTCGGGACTGGCCACTCCTCAACAGCCTTGGTCTTAGCTGGGTCCGTCTTCACCTGTCCACCCTCAAAAACATAACCCAAGAAAGGGATAGATGAGACATGGAACACACACTTTTCAGCCTTGACAAACAGACGGTTCTCCAAACGTCTTTGGAGAACCAATCTGACATGTAGCCGATGTTCGTCCAGGCTATTGGAGAAGATTAAAATGTCATCAATGTAAACAAAAACAAAAATATTCAGAAAATCCCGAAGGATATCGTTCACCAGGTTCTGAAAAGTGGCAGGGGCATTGCAGAGTCCAAAAGGCATGACCAGGTATTCGAAATGGCCAATATGGGTTTTAAATGCGGTCTTCCATTCATCCCCCTCTCTGATACGAACCAGATGATAAGCGTTGCGCAGATCCAGCTTTGAGAAGATGGAGGCTTGGTGAACTGGTTCGAAAGCTGAGGACAAGAGGGGGAGAGAGTATTTATTCTTGATTGTGATCTGATTGAGCCCTCTGTAGTCTATACAGGGGCGGAGAGTGCCGTCCTTCTTGGAGACAAAGAAAAAAACAGCACCAAGGGGAGATGAGGAGGGGCGAATGATACCTGCATTAAGGGAGTCATAGATGTATTGTTCCATTGCCTGCCTCTCCGGTCTGGAGAGATTAAACAAACGCCCAGAGGGGAGAGGAGCCCCTGGGAGGAGATCAATGCAACAGTCATATGGACGATGGGGAGGCAGAGACTGTGCTAGATCTTTACTGAACACCAGCTGTAGATCATGGTGATCCTGTGGAACATTGGTGAGGTCTGGTTTATGGGTGGCTAAAACAACAACAGAGGCTGGAGTGGTTTTAGCAGATTGGAGACATTGGTTGAGACAGTATGGACACCAAGAATCAATGCGGGCCTTGGACCAGTTTATGTGAGGATTATGCTTACAGAGCCAGGTAAACCCTAGAACCAAGGGAGCTCCCTTAGTAGGAAAAACAAAACACTGAATGAGTTCCTGATGGTTGCCTGAAACGTGGAGGAAGACTGGATCAGTCTGGTGAGTAATAAGGGCCATAGGACTGCCATCCAAAGCAGCCACCCTCAAAGGAAGTGGTAGTGTTTTGACTGGTATTTGAAGTTGGTCAACTAGCGAGGGGTGTATAAGGTTCTGTTCTGAACCCGAGTCCACCAATGCTTGGAAGGAGTGAGTACAACCCTGGACATAGAGAATAGCAGGGAGGGTTAAGTGGAGATTGTTTGTCTCCTTGGATCTGCCCGCCAGAACTCCCAGATTTACTGGCGGGCATAGTCTTTTGGGCGAACTGGGCAGGAGGAGATGTAATGTTGGGATGATCCACAATAAAGGCAGCAACCTGATGTCAGGCGGCGGTGGCGCTCTTCTGAGCTTAGCCTAGCTCTTCCCAATTGCATGGGCTCAGGCTGATTCAGATTGGGGGAAACAGATGGCTGAGGTCTGGCAGGAGGCTGTCTGCTGGCAGTTAAGGATGGACGAGAATTAGAGGGCCAGTACCTCTCTCTAATTCTATGGTCCAATCTGATGGCGAGATTTATCAATTCATCTAGAGAATCTGGTTCGTCACGGCATGCCAGCTTTGAGCTTCTCATTTAATGAGTGTAAAAAGGCACCCTTAAGGGCTGGTTCATTCCAACCTGACTCTGTTGCAAGGGTCCGGAAGTCGATAGCAAAGTCTGCCACAGATCTGCTCCCCTGTTTCAGGCTCCAGAGCTTCTTTGAGGCAGACTCTTCACTGACCTTGGGGCAAAAAGTTTGTTTGAACAGGTCAAGAAACTCTTGGTAGGAGTAATCTGTAACAGTACTCTGATCTATTACAGACTCGGCCCATTTAAGAGCCCTATCTCTTAGTAACCCAACTATGTAGGATATTTTGCTGACATCATCTGTGAATGAACGTGGTGAGCGGTTAAAAACCAAGGTGCATTGAAGCAAAAACCCCTTACATTTCTCCAACTCTCCTGAGAAATAATCGGGGGTGGGCGTGATGGCGTCACGGTGCACCGGCAGGGGAGAGGAAACCGGAAGAGGATCAGAAGTAGCAGCAGCACTAACCTGGGAAAGCTTGTCATGTAATCCTTGGATCTGTCTGGACAGCTGCTCAAGATGTTGGCACATCATATTAATAGTCTGATCGTGCTTACCCAGGAGGACTCCTTGTTCAGAGAGCGCGGTCCGTAGCTGCGCTGCAGAGTCGGATAGGCCAGTTGGTTCTGACATACTGCTAGACCAGACTCTTAAGCAAGCGACAACTGCGGACACAGAGGCAGATTTAACAGTTTATTTCCTAGTTAAATGGAGAAGAGCTCAGTCAACTTAGACAAAAACAGGGAGAGAGAGTCTGAGTTCTGGATCCTTATCCAGAGGATTGTCCTGTGTTGGATTGAGGGTGGACAGGCAGGCTGATTGTTCCTGTATGGGCTCCCCAGAGAGGAGACAGTTCCAGAGCAGCAAGGAGGTGGAGGAAACGGACCTGATCCTGGTGAGCGTCTGATCTGGTTCTGTGGAGAACGAAAGCAAGGAGAGATTAGAGGAGACTCTGGGAGCTTAGTTCACTAGCAGAGCTTGACCTGTTTTACCACTGAGAGAGCGGAACCAACTGGCAGCATGCTCCAGGAAACTGCTCCAATATAAAGGCCACCATTGATTGTCATCAAGGAGTAACAGCTGGAACCCATCAAGCCTGCCAACCTGAAATTA